CCACCCCCCGAGCCTCCAGATCCTCCTGATTCGCCGACTCCTTCCATTTCCACGTGCTCATCGCACTTTGTCGCGTCCTTTGACAGGGAGATGCCATCCGCACCTATCCCTACGCCGACTCCTTCCACTCCTGCTTCAGACGTTGTTGCTGCTAAGGAGTTTGATGACCTCCTAGCGACCTTGCAACCAAGCGTCGCTACTCTCCTTCGCGAGTATCGCGATGTCCTTCCTTCATCTGTCTCCTACAGTAGCATTCCTCCTATGCGTGACATCGAGCACCGCATCCAGCTCGAACCGAACTACCGTGTCCAGCATCGAGCCCCATACCGCCTCTCGGTCCCCGAAGCCCAGGAACTTAAACGCCAGATCGACGAGCTGCTTCGTCAGGGCTTCATTAAACCGAGCACGTCACCGTGGAGCGCACCAGTCCTCTTCAATCGAAAGAAGGACGGCGCCCTCCGCCTCTGTCTCGATTACCGCGGCCTCAATCAGTATACGGTCAGAAACAGTTATCCCATGCCCCGCGCAGATTACCTGTTTGACTGTCTCGCTGGCCACCATTTTTTTACGAAGATTGATCTTCGCAGCGGATACCACCAGATCCGCGTGGCCAAGGAGGACCAGCACAAGACCGCGTTTCGCTCTCGATTTGGACACTACGAGTTCACTGTCATGTCTTTCGGCCTCCGTAACGGTCCTGCCACCTTCCAGATGGCTATGAACACGATGTTCCARGACCTTCTCGAGGACTTTGTTCTAGTCTACATTGATGACATCCTGATCTACAGTCGTACCTTAGAGGAGCATATGACCCACCTCCGCACTGTCCTCCAGCGATTACGCGACCACGGATTCTACGCGAAGCCCTCCAAATGCGCCTTCGCTCAATCCAAGGTCGACTTTCTAGGACATCAGGTCTCCGAGCATGGACTCCACATGGACGACTCGAAGATCCAGGCTATCGTCGATTGGCCTACACCTACTTCTCTTCCTGCGCTACGCAGTTTCCTGGGGTTGACCAACTACTACGATCATTTTCTTAAAAACTACTCGCAGTACTCTCCACAGCTGACTCCTYTGACCCGCGGATGTCTACCCTTCCATTGGACCCCGGCTCATGAGGATGCCTTTCGCTCTCTGAAGCGACTTGTCACGTCAGCCCCTGTCCTACACCTACCCGACTACTCCCGCCCATTCATCGTCACCACCGACGCGTCCGACTTTGCCATAGGAGCTGTCCTCTCCTAGATTTACCCAGCCCCTTCTACTTCTCCCGACCCCACAGAGTCTYGTCTCCCTCGCATTCCTCGCTTTCCCCCCCCACCCCCAGCGACTGCGGCTCGACTTGCACCTATCGAGCCMACCCCCTCAGGGGCTCCACCTCCCTACACCCCTGACGTCGCTGATGACGGCACAGTCGAGTCTCGCGATGGAGAGTGCCCGGTTGCTTATCTATCTCGACAACTACTTCCTGCTGAGCGTAACTACACTGCTGACGAGCGTGAGGTCCTCGCGCTGGTTTACGCTGTTAAGAAGTGGCGTCATCACTTACACGGTCACACATTCACCGTCCTGATGGACAACTCTGTCCTCGCCGCTTTCCAGACGAAGCCGACGCTTACCCCTCGCCAGGCTCGTTGGTGGCGTGATCTCGCAGAGTTCGACTTTACCATCAAGAAGATTACTGGGGAAAGCAATCGCGTAGCTGATGCCTTATCTCGCCGCCCCGATCTTCAGTGCGATGATCGCCAGCTCTCTGCCATTTCATTCCCCGTCATCCACCCTGCTTTCCTAGATGAGTATCGGTCGGCATACCCCYAGTGCTCCGAGTTTCAGTCCATCTACGCTGACTTACAGGCCGGCAAGACTGTCCCTAACTTCCAGCTCGACCCCTCTGGACTCCTATATTGGCTTGGTCGCCAAGGTAACCGTACTCCCCGCTTATGTGTCCCATCTATCGGCCAGCTTCGTGTTCGAGCTGTCGCGGAGTGTCACGATCAGCGTGCTGCCGGTCATCTCGGTATCCTCAAGACCCTTGACCGACTCTAYCGACATTACTACTGGGAGCACCGCCGTCCTTTCACGACAGAGTACGTTCGCACCTGCAGGACCTGCCAGGAGGCCAGCATTCCCAACCACCCTCCCTACGGCCTTCTCCAGCCCTTACCCATTCCCACCCAGCGTTGGACCTCCGTCTCTATGGACTTCATCGGCCCACTTCGTCCCCCTACCCCACGAGGCCACGATGCCATCTTTGTTGTTGTCTGCCGATTGACTAAGCATGCTCACTTCCTCCCCTGCAAGTATGCTAGTTCAGCCAAAGACATCGCCACTCTGTACTTTAACCGTATTGCCATTCATCATGGTCTCCCCACTAGCATTGTCTCTGATCGCGATCCCCGCTTCACTTCTCATTTCTGGCGTGGACTCCATGAGACTTATGGATCCGAGCTTCGCCTTTCCTCCTCCTACCACCCCCAGTCAGACGGACAGACTGAGGTCACCAACAAAACTCTTGGGACTATCCTCAAGAAGTTTGTTGAGAATGACTCTGATTGGGATCTTCATCTTGCTCATGCACAGATCGCTTATAACCACGCTATTTCTCCCGCCACCGGCATGTCCCCCTACTACTGTGACCTGGGATATCACCCCCGTGTCCCATCTGATCTCCTCCGTCCATCTCAAATTCACCCTGACACCAAATGCCCAGCTCTCGATGAGTGGGTAAAGGAGATGGATGCGCTCCTTAGCAAGGCTCGCAAGAGCATTGCTCACTCCTAGACTCGCATKGCGACCCGCGCCAACCGCTCRCGCATTGACCATCCCTTCAAAGTTGGTGATGAGGTCCTTGTCGACGCACGTCACTTCCAGCCCGAAGCCGACACGCTTCGGAAATTCAGACGTCGATATATCGGACCATGCACCATTCTCGCACCCGCCGGACCCAATCATGACTGTCCAGTGAGCTTCAAATTGAAGCTCCCCGATTCCATGTATCGCGCTAACCTACATGATGTGTTTCATGTATCTCTTTTGCGCCCTTTCAGACGGTCTCCTCCTGAGTTTCACGGCCGACCTTACCCTCGCCCTTCTCCCATCATTATTGAAGGTCACGAGGAGTTTGTTGTCTCTGATATTGCGTCCCGGCGTATGACTGATGGTGACCGTCCCCGCCTCGAGTATCTCGTTCAATGGAAGGGTTATCTTGACGAGGAGTCTACTTGGGAGCCTCTTGAGCACCTGAAGCATGCTATGACTTTCGTGAGTGCTTACGATCGTGCTCATCCTTTCCCTTCATCATCCTCCCTCCCTACTCCTCATCCTTCTACTACTGACCCTTCTACCTCTGCGACCACTAACATTCCCCCTCCTCCATCGATGGGTCCTCCTGCTCCCCGGTACCCGCCTCAGGTCCTCCTCCCCCTATGGATGTGGTTCCGCCTGTTGTTGCAGTTCATTCCTCTCGCCCTCAGCGTACCCATCGACTTCCTTCTCGTTTTCGTGACTGATCTATATCCCCCATACGCTCTCTATCTTTTACCATTCCTTGACACTTGTGCAGCAGCTCCCGGTTTCGGCCTCTACATTCGGCTTCCACATTTAGCTTCTACATTCGACTTTTGACCTCGGTGCTTCTGTCCAGTACCAAAGTACATGTCGCATTGTTCCGGACGTCTACTTGGTTTTCGGCATTACTCCTACTTCATCCTGGCTACTTCGATTCAACTTCATTTTGGAGACTCATCAATTGGACTACTTCACTTCTTCGGCTACAGAGTTCTCATCATCCCCTGTATCCTTACCCTCCAACCGCATGATGATCCCTGTTTCCCCTGTCTATGTGGGTGTGTCCGCTTGCCGCCCTTCTGTCGTACCTTATGCTGCGCGCCCTCCTCTGGAGTGTACGTTTTCTTTGCTCGCGGCTCTTGGGCCACATGCCTATGCCGGCATAGCCCTCTCTCCTGCCAGGCTGACCTTATGCGTGCTCCCTTGTGTGAGTGTCATTCCCCTTTCAGCTGGCGGTGCCCGTTTGATGGTTTCCATTGAGCCCGGTGTCGTGCTGTTGCTNACCTTATGCGTGCTCCCTTGTGTGAGTGTCATTCCCCTTTCAGCTGGCGGTGCCCGTTTGATGGTTTCCATTGAGCCCGGTGTCGTGCTGTTGCTCCCTCCCTGAGCYTGATGTCCCCTACCTGGTTGTGTGGGTGCCCCCTTGGAGTTTACTCTAAGAGCTGTACCTACCGCCTTCCCACCTATTCCTACCTTTGCCATGCGACTGAGTTCCTTTCTCTTCTGTTCAGGCATTGTGCATTGTGCACAGGGCACGTGAGATTGTGCCACATTCTTTTCGACATAGGACATTGGCTTAGCTATTCTTTGACCTTGAGGGCCCTGATGTTGAGTTATATTCAGCCTACTTGGCTCATGAGACATTTTTCTTTTTCTTGGCCGACACAGGTCAGACATTTTTCTGCTTCTTGGGTCGACTCAGACCAGACATTGTTGTATAGATTAGGCTTGAGGCTTAGTCTGCATTGCATCCCTTTTTCCTGCATGGAGCTTGCTCCGCATTTAGGATTGTTTTTCTTTGGCCGTTCCTTTTGGGTTCCCGCTCTTTCAGCGGATAGCGTGTTTTGATGTATCTCTGGATCCACTTACAAGTCCGAGGATCGTGGAGCGGTATCCCTCCGGCCCGGCAGTGAGGCCGGACCAGTTTCAGGCCGTCGGCCTGACCCTGGTCCGGTACCAGGTTATTCCGCTACTGGACCCAGGCCGGTATATCACTTCGGCCTAGGTCTAGGGCGGCAGGTTGATTCATTGAGTGGTTGGTTCATTCATTCGGCCGGACAGGGTCTCCACTCAGCGGCTGCTTCGTGTGTGTCCTTCTCCTCTCTCTCTCTCTCTCACCATCCCCGCACGTGCCCTCTGCACGTGCGTCACAGTAGCCATCATCCACTCCTACACTTCTATCATCAACTAGGTCTGCTATCGACCATATTAATCTTTACCATGTTCTCCATGCGGGTAGGAGACCATCGTTACCCCTTGAGACAGCCACTAGGGCAAGTTTCCCAACGATATCCTCCACCAAAGCCTATCTCATCTTTATTCCTACCAGTGGGATTCCCAAGACATCCCTTATAGCAGGTTCCGCAGTGGAGTTTAATCCTACCTACACTCCCCCGAGCGGAGTTTCTGATTGAAGCCCGCAGCCTATGCGGGATATACCTGGCGAGTGGCCTCGACTCTGCAGCAACAATTTGTTAAGGTTATACAAAAACTTGAAGTCAATTCCTTAAGCTTAAAATGAACAAACATTGTTTTTTTTCCGTCCCATTAAGAGATAATAAGGAACAATTCATCAGGTGCCTTCACATGCGTGAGTGTATGCTCTTAAGAGACAAGAAGGGAGAATTCGCCAATCACCTTTAGCTCAGACCGACCCACACGCTTTCAAACACGTGGTTCTATGTTTGAGTACGAAGAGAAAGAGAAGAGGGCGTGTGCTCACATGCGTACGAGGAGAAGGTGCGTTCACATACGTGAGATAATGAGAGAGAAGGAGGCACGTTCACATGCGTGAGAGAATGCGAGAGAAGGGGGAAAGTTCACACGCGTGTGAGAGAGAGAGAGACAAACAGAGAAAGGGCACACATGCATATGTGTGTGTTTTGAGGTTAAACATAAAAAAACAGAGAAAAATAAAGCAATCCATTTACGAATCATAAGAGGGGCACTAGTTAATGCAACTTCATTATGAGTTCGAAAATAAAAGATAAAATCATTAAGGCTCAGGATCCAACACCATAATAAGATACTACCTTCATGTATGTGTGCGAGAGAGAAAGAAAGGGGGTGATAGATTAATCCGGCCCCGATGTTGTGTTGAATGCAATGCATATTCAGAGTAATATACATTTACAAATAACCCTCTCTCTCATGTTTGATGCTTATGCATTCACATCAGTATGTGTGTACATCTGTGAGAGAGAAAAAGTCTCTTACACTCATCCTCTCTCTTACACATACAGATGTGTGAACGCGCACGCATTGTGCATGAGAAAGAAAGATAGAGAGAGAAGGAGTCATTCACGAATGAGTTTGGTCAGGGGATAAATCAAACCAAATTCATTCACGCAATCCACACAATCTCATTGGGTGGGTCTGTCAAAATATTCCCCACCCTTAAGGAGAGCACATAGGGAAGGTCCAATGGAATGGGACGACGAGTTTTAAAATAGCATATATGAAAGTTGTGCTCCCTTCTAATAGTGGTCTGTGGAAACAATATCGAGTTTAATTGGCAGGACATAATGAGTCTCCGGGAGAGGGATTTGATGCAAATAAGTGGAATTTTAGGGTTGCAACTCAATCTCTTTTATATTCATACTTTACAAAGAACCTATAAAATTATTAAATAAGATTAAAAAAAAATGATTGAAGTTGCATTTCATAACCGCTTAACAAATCCCTCTTTTGTTTTTTCCTCACAAGGATGTCATTTTAGTTGTTAATTATTTTGTCTCCCTTAACTTTCGTTTTTCAACCATATGTTTTAACACCGTGTTAATTATTTGACAGCGCGTGTGGAAAAATTATTACATACTAATCATTACTAAGATAGTCGATCGTCGTCAAACAAGATCGCATGCGAAACTGGTGCGCGTGCCAATTGATGAAGTTTGAACATTGACCCTAAGGATCGATTAAGGTAAAATATGAAAAAAAAAGAAATTTAATGTAAAATATATAACCAAAATAAAATAAAACTACCAAGTAATAAATAAAATATAAATTTATGTTAAAATTTAAAGATGAAATGACAAAGAATGTGACAAAATGACACATAGCAATGGAACAATCAAATATTATAAGGAAGAAAAATCCAAGTAGGATGTTCACCCTAGCAATAACATAAGAATATCAACAAGAATTTTTTTTAACAAAAGGGTAAGAACTGCAAAGATTTTGTTATAGGTAAGAGTTAACAATTTGATAAGTATTCTTGTGGACAAAAAAATGTATAAGTAACTCGTACACGAACCAAAAATATAAGTTAGATTACCTACAAAGCATTTTTTTTTCTGCCGAACCCTTTTTCGAGGTCTTTGTTTTTTAATTTTTATTATTATTATCCCACTAGATAAAAATTCTACTTGCAAATTTTCAGCTAATTTTATAAAGTATTAAAAGAAAACAAATTGTAAAAAAGGGCCTTATTAGTTAGGGAGGTGTTTTATTTTATCGTTTCCCCCCCCCTCCCCCCCCCTCCCTCCTTCGTCGGTTCAGGAAGATATTGTCTTAATCATCAGTCAGTCAGGTTGTCAATTTGTTAGCCAGTTAGCCAGTCATCCAGCCAACCATACAGCCAGCTGGGCAGTCACTCCATCAATCGTTCGACATTCCACCGGGTTCGTTCGTCCGTCCTTTTATCCGGGTTGGTCGGTCCATCCGTTGGTCCATCGGTTTGTCCGTTGGTCGGTTTGTCTATCGGTCTATTGAGAGAAGATTAAAAACAATCGTATTTTTCGTCACCACTTCGAGAGACTGCGTAAACATGTGGTTTTCATGGTGTTCGGATTTTTCAACACTTCAAGGTTACTCAGGATTTTCAGACTGCTTAAACTCTCATTTCAGAATTTTCAGCTATCCGTTTATCATGGGTCTATTGTCGGTCTGTCTATCGATCTATCCGCCGGTTGGTTCATCGGTATGTTCGTCGCTACACCAGTCTGCTCATCCGCCTCTCCACCAGTCGCTCGTTCGTTAGTCCATTTTTCAGTCAGCCAATCAATTATTGAGTACATCAATTAGTTAGTGTGTAAT